TCCATCTGCTAGCTGTCCTTGATTTTGAAAGTTTTTCTTTGGAAATGCTTCTTTTTTTTATGCCGATCAGAAATCTGACCATATTTAGCAGAGTGCCCAGTCTTCCAGATATGTAGTCAGCACTGAAGGGTATGCAGAGCAGCAGTTTCACAGGGAAATGTAAGTATTATAGTTTTGCTGTTGTTTTATTTATCCATCCTGATGAGATTGTTGTTATTATAGATTTCCTGTAAGTGGGCTATTGACACCACCCTGATTCAACACTCTGATGCATTTAGTAATAGCCGGCCCAGCGTCTAGCAGAATAAGTAGAGAAGATTATAACTATTGAGCTGTTCTACTTGTATGAAGTGCTTGCCTGCAGTAGTATTACTCCAGTGCTACAGATGTGACCCAGATTTTTCCATAATATGACTCATTTCTGATACAGGAGATTATGTCACCATAAAATGAAGGTTCGTTTTTGGAACAGTGGACCCCAGTGTTGGAGAGGTGAGCATGCAAGAAATGGGTTACGTTTATTTAAAGTGGTTGTAAACCCTGACATGTAGCTTGTGACGTGACTAGCCTCAGGTGATACACAGAGATGAAACAAATCCTCCTACTTATATTGTGCCTGCTTTCTCTATAGCCATTCAAAGTCCAGAATTATACAGTTTGTCTGAGCTTTCAGAAAGCAGGGGACAGGGAACTGAAATTACACTCTGCAGAGCTCAGTGAGATCTCATTGGAGGGAAGGGACACCCCCCCCCCCGTTCACACAGCACACAGAAACAGAGCTGAGACTGTCAATCAGAGGCTGTATGCTGTAACTCCCTCATCATTATATTGTTATCTCTTGGTGTCAGGAGAACCTGTCAGAAGTGACTCATGCAGATAGCAGAGGAATGAGGCAGCAGTCAGAAATGACACTTAGTTCTCTGGATTGAGACATGTATGGACTATAGAGGGATATGCTTTGTTCATATATCATGTCAGAGGTTTGCAACCACTTTACGGAAGGGTCATTTTTTGAATTACGGGGATTGTTAGTGTAAGGGTTACAGGGAGGGTTAGTGCAAGGAATATGGTTATGGCTACAGAGAATTGATGTAAGCATCAGAATTAGGGTTACAAAGAGGAATGATGTGAGGGTTAGTATTAGGGTTACAGGGAGGGTTAGTCTGAAGGTCAGTGTTAGTACTATGGGCAGCGTTAGTGTCAGGGCTTGTTCACATGTATGGCCGGGGGACAGTAAAACCAGGCGATTGAGCTGTAGTTTTACTGCTGCCCCGACCGCAAATCTGAATGGCGGCTTGCAGCTGCTCCTGGCTGTAGACATGCCATGGCCATAGCAAAAATTAAGCAGCATGTCGATTTTGGCAAGTGTTGCTGCCACCAAACACGGCTAATGCAGGTCTATGGGGTCCTCCTGTTGGGGTTACAGGAATGAATAGTGGGAGGGGGGCCTTATGATAGGGCATTACTCTCCACACAGTAAACTGTTAGCATCCATCTCCCAGTGATGAAAAAGATATTCTTGGAATATTCATATAAACAGCTGATAAAATGATAGATCACCTCCAGCATTTCCTGAAAGATATTTTAGGATATTGGTCTAGAATAGATATTGTAAGATGGGACAGGGCAGGTGGATAAAGGAAGGTATAATTTGCTGAAAATGCTGTCATATGTTATTATGTCATATGAAATTGCACACTGCAATTTCTTTTATAATAAAGTGATTCTTAGGGTTGTAATAAAAAAAAAAAAAAACCAAACATGTCATACTTACCTGCTCTGTGCAATGCTTTTGCACAGAGGAGCATCGATCCTCTTCTTTTTTGGGTCCAGTCCTGGATTTCTATGGGGGCACTAGAGTAGGCTCATTCCCGAGCCGTGCTCCTGTGAAAACATTGTCCATTCACACAGGGACGTGTCTCGGGCCCGCCCCCTGCTCTCTCCCTCATTGGCTCACTGGTTGTGATTGAAATCAGCAACACTACCCAAATTAATTACAGATAATTTTTTTGAGACAGATAGAGCTGTCTTTTGGTGATATTTAATCACCACTGGGTTTTTAGTTTTTTACTATATATAAAGGAAAAAAAATTTGAAAATGTTGAAAAAACGGTTTCCCTTAGTTTCCGCCCAAAAATTTTCCAAATAGATATACTTTCTTCATAACTTTAGACCAAATGTATTTTGTTACATTTCTTTGATTAAAAAAACTATTGCTATAAGTACAGTATATATTATTTAGACTTTGTGAAAGTTATGTGTAAAAAACTATGGTATATATACAGTACAGGGCTGGACTGACCATTCGTGCACTCGGGCACTGGTCAGTAGGGGGCCCCATGAGATGCCCCTGGTACCTTTCATTGGCTTTTTCATAGGCTTTTTTGGGTGTGTGGGCGAGGACACGGGGGCCCCATGATCCCCTATTGCCCGGGGGCCCCATGAGTTGTCAGTCTGCCCCTGATACAGTATATTCGAAATGTATCAACCCTGATGTTCTAACTGCTTATCTCATTTCTTAAGGCCCTAAAAATGCCAGGACAGTAAAAACACCAACAAAATGACCATATTCTAGAAAGAAAACACCCAAAGAAAATATGTTGTAATTTTTTGGCATTTTGTTATGGAAAATTAAGAATTTGATTTTGATTTTAAAAAATGTTATTTTAACAAGTTATTTCTTACACACAGCATGGACATAGCTATAACTACACCCCAAAACAGGTTCTTCTACTCCTCCCGAGTACGAGGACACAACATGTGTGAAACTTTTTCGCAGCCTAGATGCATAAAGGGGCCCTAAATCCAAGGAGCACCTTTAAACTTTCAAGGGTGCACTAGTTAGACATCTAAGTTCCTGAGAACCTGGAGGCCCTTGAATGCCAGGACAGTAGAAACAGGAACAAAATGATCACATTTTGAAGAGTAAACACCACAAGGTATTTTTAAAGAGACATAGGAAGTCTTTTGAATATGTAATTTTTTGCCATGTTTGGCAATTTTTTTTTTAAGGAAATTAAAATGTGTTTCTATAATGCAAAGTTGTCAATTTAATAAGATATTTCTCACACACAGCATGGGCATACATAGAATGTTTCTGGGGCGCACACATCTTCTGGGGTTCCAAATGTAAAATGTCCCATGTATGGCATGCCTTGAATCAAATGAAGGACAATAGATTTTATATATTAGGGTTGGATTTATTTACAAATAGGGATATACATACATTGTAGTTACAAATAAGGAAGGGAATAAGGTAACAGGGAGGAAGATGGACAGGAGAATAAGGGTGTCCTCTCTAGCCTAACACACATTCATTCTCGCTGAGATCTTTCACATCTCAGGGCTTCTAGTCCAATCTTTAGACACACCCTCAGTTGAGTTCCCTGAAAATCGCAGGCTTTTTCTTTGTGGAAGAAATCTTGAACCAAAGATCACAAAAATTAATTCCTGTCCCAGGCTGAGAGTTGAGTTTTTGAGCAGATGATTACACAGGATGTCCAAACGATCCACCCCCCTTCAGGAACCATAGTGAAGGTGGGGGGAGGGGGGCAGTGAATACCCGTACCGATCCTACTGGCCAATTTGTTGTTTGCTGGCTGTGCAGTCTTCATCTTCCTTTACACAGTCATTTGTATTTTGCTGGAGAAGCCATATTTTAGTACATGTCCAGACTACACTGTTATCAATTTATAAAATATTACAGGGGCCTAAAAAGAGACTTATGGGGGCCATAGATGGGTCGAAAATCGGCCGATTTTCGGATCGTTAGTGGGCTATCTGTTCGACCGTTTTTTCGGTATTTTGGCAGATTTTTTTTATCGGTAAAGTTGGAAAAAAAATCGGCCGATTTTGCCGATCGGCCGATTTTCGGCGGCAATGATGGCAAATCGGCCGATTTTTTATCGATAAAAAAATCTGCGCATGAGCAGTGACCTGCAAGAGGAAGACAAAAAGAAGAAAAAGAAGAAGAGGAAGAGGATGAAGAAGAAGAGGATGAAGAAGAGGATGAAGAAGAAGAAGAGGATGAAGAAGAAGAGAGGATGAAGAAGAGGAAGAAGAAGAGGATGATGATGAAGAAGAAGAAGAAGAGGATGAAGAAGAATAATAAGAAGAGGATGATGATGATGATGATGAAGAACAAGAGGATGAAGAAGAGGAAGAAGAAGAAGAAGAAGAAGAAGAAGAGGATGAAGAAGAGGAAGAAGAATAAGAAGAAGAGGATGATGAAGAAGAAGAAGAAGAAGAAGAAGAAGAAGAGAACGAGAAGAGATGAAGAAGAAGAAGAAGAAAGAAGAAGAAGAGGATGACGAAGAGGATGATGAAGAAGAAGAGGATGATGATGAAGAAGGAGAAGAAGAAGAATAAGAAGAAGAGGATGATGATGAAGAAGAAGAGGATGAAGAAGAGGAAGAGAAGAAGAAGAAGAAGAAGAAGAGGATGATGATGAAGAAGGAGAAGCAGAAGAAGAAGAGGATGAAGAAGAAGAGGATGAAGAAGAAGAAGAAGAAGAAGAGGATGATGATGAAGAAGGAGAAGAAGAAGAAGAAGAGGATGAAGAAGAAGAGGATGATGATGAAGAAGAAGAAGAGGACGAAGAAGAGGAAGAAGAAGAAGAGACGAAGAAGAGGATGAAGAAGAGGATGAAGAAGAGGATGAAGAAGAAGAAGAAGAAGAAGAAGAGGAAGAAGAGGATGATGATGAAGAAGGAGAAGAAGAAGAAGAAGAGGATGAAGAAGAAGAGGATGAAGAAGAGGATGAAGAAGAAGAAGAGGATGAAGAAGAGGAAGAAGAAGAAGAAGAGGATGAAGAATAAGAATAAGAAGAAGAGGATGATGATGATGAAGAAGAAGAGGATGAAGAAGAGGAAGAAGAAGAAGAAGAAGAAGAGGATGAAGAAGAGGATGAAGAAGAGGAAGTAGAAGAAGAAGAAGAAGAAGAAGAAGAAGAGAAGAAGAAGAAGAAGAAGAAGAAGAAGAAGAGGATGAAGAAGAAGGGATGAAGAAGAAGAGGATGATGTGGAAGAGGATGAAGAAGAGGATGATGAAGAAGAAGAGGATGATGATGAAGAAGAAGAAGAGCATGAAGAAGAGAAGAAGAAGAAGAGGATGAAGAAGAAGAATAAGAGTTTGAAGAAGAGGATGAAGAAGAGGATGAAGAAAAGGATGAAGAAGAAGAAGAAGAAGAAGAGGATGAAGAAGAAGAAGAGGATGAAGAAGAAGAAAAGGAAGAAGAGGAAGAAGAAGAGGAAGGAGAAGAAGAGGATGAAAAATAAGAGGAATTCCAGTCCGGCAAAAAGTGTCCCTGCAGAGAGCTTGGCTATTTCTTTGACAGTTCCTTGACATTTATAGCGGTTGCAACATTGTATCTATTTGTTTCCGAATAAAAACATCTGTATCCTAAATGGATACAAATAGATACATTGTTGCAACCGCTATAAAGAACTGTCAAAGAAATAGCGGAGCTCTCTGCAGGGACACTTTTTGCTGGCTGTAGACGGGATGAAAATTGGCCAATTTTTTTTACCATTGCTGGTAATGTCGGCCGCTTGAACGACCGATTTTTTCATTTTTTTAAGGAAAAATCGGCCGTTTTTCTCCCCGTCTATGGCCTGCATTACCCTGGTGTTCCTGCACACCTTGATTAGCTCCAGCTGAGATAGTAGCAACAAGGTAGTGTAATACCCATAGCTGGAGACTCCAGTACAAGTGCGCAGATGATTACACAGGATGTCCAAACGATCCACCCCCCTTCAGGAACCATAGTGAAGGTGGGGGGGAGGGGGGCAGTGAATACCCGTACCGATCCTACTGGCCAATTTGTTGTTTGCTGGCTGTGCAGTCTTCATCTTCCTTTACACAGTCATTTGTATTTTGCTGGAGAAGCCATATTTTAGTACATGTGCAGACTACACTGTTATCAATTTATAAAATATTACAGGGGCCTAAAAAGAGACTTATGGGGGCCATAGATGGGTCGAAAATCGGCCGATTTTCGGATCGTTAGTGGGCTATTTGTTCGGCCGTTTTTCGGTATTTTGGCAGATTTTTTTTATCGGTAAAGTTGGAAAAAAATCGGCCGATTTTGCCGATTGGCCGATTTTCGCGGCAATGATGGGCAAATCGGCCGATTTTTTACCGATAAAAAAATCTGCGCATGAGCAGTGACCTGCAAGAGGAAGACAAAAAGAAGAAAAAGAAGAAGAAGAAGAAGAGATGATGAAGAAGATGAGATGAAGAAGAGGATGAAGAAGAAGAAGAGGATGAAGAAGAACAAGAGGATGAAGAAGAGGAAGAAGAAGAGGATGATGATGAAGAAGAAGAAGAGGATGAAGAAGAATAAGAAGAAGAGGATGATGATGATGATGAAGAACAAGAGGATGAAGAAGAGGAAGAAGAAGAAGAAGAAGAGGATGAAGAAGAGGAAGAAGAATAAGAAGAAGAGGATGATGAAGAAGAAGAAGAAGAAGAAGAAGAGGATGATGATGACGAAGAAGAGGAAGAAGAAGAATAAGAAAGAGGATGACGAAGAGGATGATGAAGAAGAAGAGGATGATGATGAAGAAGGAGAAGAAGAAGAATAAGAAGAAGAGGATGATGATGAAGAAGAAGAGGATGAAGAAGAGGAAGAAGAAGAAGAAGAGGATGATGATGAAGAAGGAGAAGCAGAAGAAGAAGAGGATGAAGAAGAAGAGGATGAAGAAGAAGAAGAAGAAGAAGAAGAGGATGATGATGAAGAAGAGAAGAAGAAGAAGAAGAAGAGGATGAAGGAGAAGAGGATGATGATGAAGAAGAAGAAGAGGACGAAGAAGAGGAAGAAGAAGAAGAGGACGAAGAAGAGGATGAAGAAGAGGATGAAGAAGAAGAAGAAGAAGAAGAAGAAGATGAAGAGAAGAAGAAGATGATGAAGAAGAGGAGAAGAAGAGAAGAAGGAGAAGAAGAAGAGGATGAAGAAGAAGAGGATGAAGAAGAGGATGAAGAAGAAGAAGAGGATGAAGAAGAGGAAGAAGAAGAAGAAGAAGAAGAGGATGAAGAATAAGAATAAGAAGAAGAGGATGATGATGAAGAAGAAGAAGAGGATGAAGAAGAGGAAGAAGAAGAAGAGGATGAAGAAGAGGATGAAGAAGAGGAAGTAGAAGAAGAAGAAGAAGAAGAGGATGATGAAGAAGAAGAAGAAGAAGAGGATGAAGAAGAGGATGAAGAAGAAGAGGATGATGTGGAAGAGGATGAAGAAGAGGATGATGAAGAAGAAGAGGATGATGATGAAGAAGAAGAAGAAGAGGATGAAGAAGAGGAAGAAGAAGAGGATGAAGAAGAACAATAAGAGTTTGAAGAAGAGGATGAAGAAGAGGATGAAGAAAAGGATGAAGAAGAAGAAGAGGATGAAGAAGAAGAAGAGGATGAAGAAGAAGAAAAGGAAGAAGAGGAAGAAGAAGAGGAAGGAGAAGAAGAGGATGAAAAATAAGAGGAATTCCAGTCCGGCAAAAAGTGTCCCTGCAGAGAGCTTGGCTATTTCTTTGACAGTTCCTTGACATTTATAGCGGTTGCAACATTGTATCTATTTGTTTCAGAATAAAAACATCTGTATCCTAAATGGATACAAATAGATACATTGTTGCAACCGCTATAAAGAACTGTCAAAGAAATAGCGGAGCTCTCTGCAGGGACACTTTTTGCTGGCTGTAGACGGGATGAAAATTGGCCATTTTTTTTACCATTGCTGGTAATGTCGGCTGCTTGAACGACCGGTTTTTTCATTTTTTTAAGGAAAAATCGGCCGTTTTTCTCCCCGTCTATGGCCTGCATTACCCTGGTGTTCCTGCACACCTTGATTAGCTCCAGCTGAGATAGTAGCAACAAGGTAGTGTAATACCCATAGCTGGAGACTCCAGTACAAGTGGATTCCAGTCAAGCAGAAATAAACAAATTTCTTTCATGCTTCTGCATGTGTGCAGACATGGAGGGAGAGCTATGGTGAATAGATTTACATTGGGATTATATTGCTAACCTAACATAAGAACTTGTTTTGTGCTGCCTTTATGAAGATGTTGTCTGTTGCTAGGTATACTAACTAAACTCAAGCTTATCCAGATTGTCGCCTAGCTTTCTGCTGTAATTCATTCCTGCTTCACAAGGGAAGTGCATCCAAGGCATCCCTTACCACTAGAGCTGCAAATTGTATTTGTAGCACCCTCCTAGTTTAGAGTAGGCTGATAGAAAAATTTAGGTTGGCTCAATTGTAATCATAGGAACAGGGGGTTAGGGCTGCTCAGTGTTTCACATGCTGCTGATCTTTTACTTCCCCCTTTTTTCTAGAGGTTCTGAATAGTTATGGCACTCTAGCCAAACTCTGGGGAGGTGTGCCCAGAAGGTGGGGGGAGAGCCCATAAGTAGTCTAATGCCTTGGCAGCAAGTGCAATGTTTTTGGGTTCAGTCCTGCTGGTGGAGACCCATGTGCAGGGGCTCTGCCCCCTGCAGCAGATGTGTTAGAGAAGCCCATGTGATGACGTCAAGGTCCCAGCTAGGCTTATCTGGGGGTCTATTTGCAAGTTCAAGTCCAGGGATCAAGTTGGGTCCGGAGGAAGTTGGTGGGACAGAGTCCAGCTTTCCTATGGTGATGTGAGTCTACTTCTCCCTCACTATAAAGAGCCTGGTGTAGGCAGGCAGCAACCTGTGATCCTCAGTAGTTGACCCTCAGTGCTGGAGGAAAAGTGATTGTGTGTATCTTTGTTTAACTCTTGAATGAGTGCAGGCCACCTACAGCATAAGAGATCCTGTGGGACATTCAGTTGTCTGGGCAGTGCAACCAGCTGTTCTGTGAAGTGCATGCAGAAATTGAGCAGTCTTCAAGTTAGCAAGTTCATGGGTATCCCATGCTCCCTGTCTCATTCCAAGTTCATCGTTCTCAATAAAAACCTTAACCACTTGCCATCCTGAGGATTTACCCCCCTTAATGACCAGGCCTCTATTTGCTACTTGGTGCTGCACTATTTCAACTTATAATTGCGCTGTCATGCAATGCTGTACCCAAACGAAAATTACATCCTTTTTTTTTCACACAAATAGAGCTTTCTTTCGGTGGTATTCAGTGGTACCCATCTCCCTGCTGCCATTTACTTCTAAACTCCTAGAACGCTTAGTCTACAATCGTCTGAGCTCCCACCTCACTGACAACAACCTTCTTGACCTCTTACAGTCTGGCTTTCGCCCTCTAAACTCCACTGCAAACTGCCCTACTAAAACTCTCTAATAACCTACTAACTGCAATAACCGATGGCCACTATTCAATACTCCTACTACTCGACCTCTCCGTGGCTTTTGACACGGTTGACCATCCCCTCCTCCTCAAAAACTACACTCTCTTGGCCTCAGAGACTCCGCTCTCTCCTGGTTCTCCTCCTATCTATTGCAGCGCTACTTCAGTGTTAACTATAACGCTGCCACCTCCTCTTCTCTCCCTCTATGTAGGGGTCCCTCAAGGTTCTGTTCTTGGACCCCTTCTCTTCTCCATCTACACCTCCTCCCTTGGTCACTTGATAAACTACCATGGCTTTAATTACCATCATCTATGCTGATGACACGCAAATCTATCTGTCTACCCCTCACCTCACCCCTTCAGTCTCCACCCGCATTGCTAGCCTACTAAGCGACATTTCGGCTTAAATGTCACTCCACTTCCTCAAACTCGACCTTTCAAAACTGAGCTCCTAGTTTTCCCCCCTGCCCGTGCCACCTCCACTGACTTCACCATAAATATCAATAACACAATCATCAGTCCATCCCCTCAAGGCAGGGTACTAGGTGTAATCCTAGACTCCCATCTGTCCTTCCAGCCCCAGATCCAATCGCTGACAAAATCATGTAGACTTCACCTCCGCAACATCTCCAAGATACGACCGTTCCTAACCACGGAAACCACTAAGCAACTTATTCACTCCCTTGTCATATCACACCTCGACTATTGTAACTCCCTCCTTATTGCCTACCTCATCGCAGGCTATCCCCCCTTCAGTCTATCATGAACGCTGCTGCCAGACTCATCCACCGCACTAACCACTCTGTATCTGCCACCCCTCTCTGCCACTCCCTCCACTGGCTCCCAATTGCCCAACGGATAAAATTCAAAACACTAACAATGACATACAAAGCCATCCACAACACTGCCCCAATTTACATATCCGATCTTATCTCTAAATATCACCCAAACCGTACACTCCGCTCCTCGCAAGACCTCCTACTCTCTAGCTCCCTTATCTCTTCCTCCCATGCCTCCCATGCTTGTCTCCAAGACTTCTCCAGGGCGTCACCCATCATCTGGAACGCCCTACCCCAATCTATCAGACGATCACCTACTTTACTTACCTTTAGGTGATCATTGAAAACCTATCTCTTCAGGGAAGCCTATCCTGCCCTCTGTTAATACTGGAATCCTCTACTCTTCCAACTACTCCATCCCCCACAGTTTTTTACCTATTGTACCACTCACCCCTCCCTCCTAGATTGTAAGCTTCAAGGAGCAGGGCCCTCAATTCCCTCTTGTATTGAACTGTATTGTTACTGTATTGTCTCCCACTATAATGTAAAGCACTGAGCAAACCATTGGCGCTATATAAATCCTGTATAATAATAATAATAATTTCATCACCTCTGCGCTTTTTATTTTCCGCACTATAAACAAAACAAGACTGAACATTTTGAAGAAAAACAATATATTTTACTTCCAGCTATAAAAAATGTATAGTAAACTCAAAGTTAGTCTTAAATTTAGGCCAAAATGTATTCTGCTACATGTGTTTGGTAAAAAAATCCCAATAAGTGTATATTGATTGCTTTGTGTGAAAGTTATAGTGTCTACAAACTGGTATAGATACTGCAATTTACACCATTTTTTGCTATACAGCACTGCACTAGTTTAACTGACAACTGCGTGGTCATATAATACGGTACTTAAAATAAATTTACATCCTTTTTTCACACAAATAGAGCTTTTTTTGGTGCTATTTGATCACCTGTGCGCTTTTTATTTTTGGCGCTTTAAACAAAAAATGTTTTGGGAAAACATTTTATAAAAAAAAAAAATATCCAAAATACTAATATGTCATCATAAATTAAGGCCAAAATGCATTCTGCTACATGTTTTTGGTAAAAAAAATTCCAATAAGTGTATATTGATTGCTTTATGTGAAAGTTATAGCGTCTACAAACTATGGTATAGATAATGGAATTTACAAAACTTTTACTTTCTGACTGCCCATCACATTTCTTGAGATGCTAAAATACCAGGACAGTACAAACACTCCCAACTGACCCCTTTTCAGAAAGTAGACACCCTAAGCTATCTGTTGAGAGG